AATGTGGTTTTCGTCAACAAACGAATACTGTTCCGGTAGGTAACTTCTCTAGCCCCAATCCGATTTCTTGCGAAAACAAGTAATGCATAACCAAAAGAACTCAAAAAGCTCTACAAATAAAAGACTAAAAAATGACGAAAGACAAACAGGGATACGAGAGGAGAGGCTACAGCCGAACATGTTCGACCCAAACGGATGTCCCAGCGCTATCCATTCTTTTTCGATCAGTGAGCTTAGGCCAGCAATTGTACGATAGAAACGATCCGCACAAATCTGGACCAGTGATGCCACAACTGCTGAGGCATTATATCCATCATCATCTAGAATAATGCGCTACATGACTGTTTCATTGTACTCGATGGTACAAACGATCAATGACAAGTAAATAATAGCAGCACTCGTGCAACATCTTAAAATTTACAGTTTGCGTAAAATTTGAAGCTTATGAAAAATTAGGAATTTATGTAAATTTAAAAGTTGTAATCAAAATTACAAACTTATACAGGTTTAGAAAAATCCGCAACTGACCAGTAATAATGACCGATCGTTGGTTGTCGATCAACTTGTGAATGGCAGTACATGTCAACTGGAGGCATTGGAAGACCAGTGCACACCAACCCGTCTCATCGACCGCGCTGTACCATTCTTTTTCCCTCTGAACGAATCGAGCAGGTGACTCTAAAGATATAACTTAGTTTACTTATGAACGAAGAGTGATGCTAAACAAACGTCTTAATTCAAAAAAGTATTTCATCAAGGACTGGGATGGAAAGTTTTGGAAAAAGACATGGATGCCTAAACAGCTAAAAGCCTTGCCAAATTCTTCTGCTGAGTTTTTAATCCCAACAGATGACGAAACGAACGCCGCAAAGTTGCCAGCAAAATGACCATTAGGCAACATGGAACTGGTCAAAGCAACTGGAAATGTAGCGAAATGCACGAACAGACTATGGCTTGAAGCTGACGGAAGAGACAGGAAGAGGAGAGCAGAGGCAATGTCCTCAAGTAGCAAAAAAGACATGCCTAAGCCGGCCATTTAGTATTTCTCAGCTGTTTATTTTTTTTTTTTTTTT